TCTGGACTAAACATTCAAGGGGGATCAATGTTCTCTATTAATTCTTAATCAAGTGAAAAATACAAGACAACAAAAAGCTTTTAAAATCTACCCACAGTGCTTTGTGACACAGAATGTTGAAAGGTCATTGAGCAAATGAAGCCAACCTGTTTTCAGGAAGGTTCCATGCATCATGGTGCAGACCCAAACCACCCACATCTTTATCGGCGTCTATGCAGATTTAGTCACTTTTCATTTTTTTTCACAGGATACAACCCACAGTTTTCTTTTGGAAGGTGATGCCAAGGTTAGAGGCAAGGTTAGCCAAGGCTCTTTCTCCAGTGTACAGTGTAACAGAAAGATGGCAACAGCAAAGGCATCCCAGTCAAGCTTTCCATCAGTGGTCGATGACATTTCACACTCTTCCAGGGGATTCCATGATCACTTAGAGCGGAGCAACCAAGGTTCCAGTGTTTCACCAGATAAAAAGACATCCGCTGAACTTTAACTGTCAGAATTTACAATGAGGTGGCCTTGTTTTCAGAGTTTACAGCCCTTGGGAACTCAGCTACTGAGGCTCTGCTGGGATCCTGAGATCTGAGTAGAGGAAGAGCAGGTGTTGGTGGATTTCTAAGATCCATTGGTGAGGATACAGTTGACTTGTTTACCAATACACTTCCACTATCTGATGTGTCCCTGTTCCTTCATGAATGTGCAAAAAATCAAGTGAGGATACAGGGATTTTGTGGTTGTTGTTGTTGTTCTAGTTTTCTAACATATTGAAAATATACAGAAAAACATGAAAGAAACAGAAATAATTGCATAATTGCATATGTAAAAATTTACACAACTTCTTTTTCTTGTTTGCATTTGTGTGTGCCGTGTGTGTGTGTGTGTGTGTGTGTGTGGTGTATTTGTATGTCCATGAATACACAAACAGAGAGGGCAACGGCAGGTGTCTTCCTCTGTGCTCTTGACTTTATTTCCTGAGACAGTCTCTCATGGAACTGGAGCTCATCAGTTGGCCAGATTGCAGTCTGGTAAGCCCCAGGAATCCTCCGCCTCTGGCCCCAGCAATGGCAATATAGGCTTGTGTCTCCATGCTTGGCTTTCCACATGGCTGCTGGGGAGCCTGGCCTCACGTTCTCATGTTTGCAGAGCAAGTACGTCACCCATTGAGTCATCTCCCAAGCCCCCAAGAACTTAACTCCTGTGAGAATTGAAACATAAAAAGTCTACAAGAGGAGAAAAAAAATTCTTATAGCTATTTAAAAGAAAAGGATTACAAACACAGCTTCGATTCTACCAAAAAAAAAAAAAAAATCAAATCAGAGGGAAGCACCGGGAAGAAAAAATATCAAAGCACTTCAGTGGGTAATTGATAAAAGGAGAAACCTACACGGTTAATTTCTGAAAGGAAAAGGAGACACTAGAGACATGCAAATGAAAATAGCATGAGCTATTGCTCGGACCAATCAGATCGGGACATTACGTATGGAGGCAATCCAGAAATACGGATCAAATTTCATGCTGAGCTGATTAGTTGATGTAGCCATTCTGCTTCTAGTCATTTGGCCTTAATTTTATCTTTATCTTAATTTAAATATTTGATTTAATCTTGAAATAATTACTTAGGCATATACATTTAGAAGAAACTAATAAAGCAAACCACCAGGGAGCCGTCTGCTTCCATCAATCATTTTGTTGCTTTTGCATGTCATTCTGAGGCTTCTCCTCTTCTTTTTTTTTTTCTCTTCCTTATTCTTTTCCTCTTTCCTTTGGCAGCAAATAAAGAGAGAGCACTAATTGCAAACTCTGATGAATGGTGGTGGAGGATGGTGGGTTAGTTGCTGTTTGCATTCCTTTAATCATGCTAATAATTCATGTTTACCTTTCCATATTCTGTGGGAAAATTGGACCCATCAGTGCCTCTTCACTGAGATCTGGACTTGCAAGAGACCTCCATGTTCAATGCCCAAGGGAGTCCCTCAGCCCGCTCACGCTCCCACCCCTCTATCCCCCTATTTGACTCCCCCAAATCCCCACCCCACACAAACTGCACTTGTAATGTCATTTTATACACAGCCGGAAGTGGGAGAAATAAAACATCCTGGAATCCAAGCACAGGCCACATGAAGAAAGCAACACATGTATTCTCTCAGTTTGGAATGCAACAGAACAGATGACCTTCTTTTGTCAGCCAGGCGGAAGAACCTGACACATTCTCTCTTTCTATATAGATAGGGTGCCGGAGTCTCACTCTGTTGCCAGGCTTCCTTCAAGCTCAGGATCCTCCTGCCTCAGCCTCCCAAGCAGCTGGAATTACAGGCATGTGCTCCCACCCCTGGTTTCGATCTCTCCCTCAGAGGGCTCTACAATCTTATTTTTCACAGGCAGCCATGCAAATTATGTGGTCAGTCCTGCCAAGGTGTCTTCTGTCTTATCTCTTTTCAGGAAGTGGTCCCTTCTTTTGTGTCCTTTCAATCGGCATTGGTATTTCTGAGGAGCTTGCATGAATGAGTAGTAGTTAAGTTCAGGTCGACAGTCGGACAGTGTGCCAGCTCCACCCTGAGCATCCTGACACAACAGCAAACAGCCTGATTCCTACCTCTCCTCCACAGTGTGGGACTAGTTCAGAAAGGTGCCCAGCTGCAGACGGAGACTGCTCATTTGTTCCCAGCTGTCCAGACCAAAATAATCACACAGAAACTATATTAATAACAACACTCTTTGGTCAATAGCTTAGGCATATTCCTGGCTAACTCTTCTATCTTAAATTAACCCATTTTTATAATTCTGGATATCACCACAAGGCTGTGACTTACCAGTAAGATTCTGGTGTTCCGGCATCTTTCTCCTTCGGCAGCTACATGGCATCTATTTGACTCCACCTACTCTCTTTATCTATCTCTTCCAGCCTGGCTATATCCTGCCCTGCCATAGGCCAAAGTAGCTTCATTCATTAACCAATAAAAGGAACACATATACCAAAGGACACCCCACATCACCCAGGGTCACACCGCTGGCTGAGTACTGGGAAGCCAGTGTTCAATCACCGCACTGGCTCCCACAGCCTGTACTTAGTTTACAGTGTTCCCCTAATACTCCTCTGAGGCTCAGATGTGTAAAATGTAAACTTCAGACACTGTGTCACTTACTGTCCAACTGAAGCTAGCAGAGACCAACTCGTGGACCCTGAACACTGTTGTCTTTATCCCCATTCTCTTTTTTTAAAACATGCTCATTCCTCTTAGCACAGATTTTGTTGCTCTTACTGAGTCTGACATCTTGACCCCTTTACCATGCCCACTCTGGCCCCAGCCACTGCCCTCCCTCCATTGGACAGCCCTGCCCTCTGTGGAACTAGCTCAGCTTTCAAGGGTACATACCATCTCATCTCCTGTCTTTATGATGTGTCCCTCTTCATTCAAAGATAAGTCCTTGCTGCCTGTGGCCGGCACAGCCCTCTATGACACCAGCATGAGGAAAACACTGGGAATTCTCTCGGGTACTATAGTCCATGAAACACATGGCAGAGTCAGTACTTCGTTATAAACAAGGCAGGGCTGGAGAGCTGGATCTGTGGTTAAGAGTGCTTGCTGCTTTTCCAGAGGACCCAAGCTCCTGTCTTAACACTCATACCTGGCAGGTCACACTGCCTGTAACTGCACCTCCAAGGGATTTCACACCCTGTTCTGACCTGTGTGGGCACCTATACACTTGTGGAAGGCAGCCATACAGACATACACGCATACACTTGAGTAAAATGAAGTATTTAATTGAGAAGTGAAGTCAAATGGGCTTTATGTTAGATGCCTCTGCCGCACTGTATGTTAACGTAAGTGCTCCACAACTATTCAAGGAAGCCTGGGTGGAGCTGTGAGGCCTGATGCAATAAATGCAATCTAAACTCACAACAGTTCCTTTTGCAATGGGTTCACTGAGGCAAAACCCTACTGTGAGTCAAAGGAGCTCCTAATGTATTCGCTGGTGAAACAAACAAGTAATCCAAACATCTCTGCGCTTTTCTTTTCTTCTCCTGGCAATATTGTCTTTCTGATAAGGAGTTCTCTATCACAAGATAGCAAAGTTGTACACGGGGAAAGAAAGGGATCTTAAACCAGGAAGGCACTCCCAGGTAATGAGGCTAGGGGACTCTCTTGGTGAGGTTTTCACCTGCCACCCTCCCACCCCCTGATGTCCTCCCTTAGATGCATGCATGAGTCACTGGAAAAGACAGAGGCTACACAAGTTATTCCTGCCACACCTGGTCTGCCTTCAACCCCAGGAACGCACAATGCCTCTCAACAAGAACCACACAAAACAGAAACCTTGGCACTCATAGGGAACAATAGAGAGTACCCAAGTGGAGAGAAGTGCAGTATTGCAGAGGAGTTACCCTTGAGGGCACAGTTCTGTGTGTCCTGTGACATTGGTCAGTAGCCATTCATGCATTCATTGCAACCTTTACAGGAACATTGAATCCTATTTTGTGCTTTTTGCTTGGCCACGGGGATGGGAGTGTGTGGGGGTAGGGATGGGGGCTGTGTTCCTCTGCAGCGCCACCCATGGGAGATTTGGTAGCAGCCATCACAGAATTAGTGCCACCTTGTGGCCACCAAAGATGCTACAGCGAAGCGATCTGGGTGCTTGCTTAATCTAGGGAGACCGAGGATGCCCGAGGAGGAAGTGAAACACTGTTATCTAGAAACATGAAGACCAGCTATTTTCAATAAAAGAAAACGAGGCACTTTGTACCCATCATCCTGGCGAAACGACACACATTCCCAGTCCCTCCTCTCTCGGGTCTTCAGTTTCTTTTATCGGTTTTTTTCTTTTCTTCTCATGAACAGCTTACATAAGAGAAGAAAAGAAAACAAAAGTCATCCCGATGCCCTTTGGTAGTGCTGTCTTGTGTTTGTACATATTATGGCACAACACACGTAACGGAGTTCACTCCGTTGCTTTGTAAACATTGCTCCACGCCCGCCCACAGCTTCTCATCGTCCCAAACTGAAACTCTGAACCCACTCCTGCCTCAGTTTCTGGCCACTCATTCCACTTTCTGACTTTCTTGTGGGTACCCTGGCTTTTCTGGGGAGCTGGGAAGTTGACACATCCCAACTCGAGGCATTTTCCCAGACAGTGGGAGATTTCTAGTAATTCTCCCTCTTTTCTGACTTCCTTCACCCCCTCCTACACCCCACAAAAGCATGTGAGAAAAGAGAAAACCACCGACAGACGCTGGGGAAAGGGTATAAGAAGCAAGAGGCTAGGGTGGGTGGGATGGGCAGTCCAGGCTAACAAAGTATTAAGGGCTTGTCATGTGTGGTATGTACTGGTTGCCACAACAAGAGCTTGTGTGGTTAAGGGGTGGGGCAGCCATGGCCTGCCAGGTGGGCAGAGGGCAAGTCTGGGCAGCTTTGTCTCTCTTGCTGAGAAGCAACATCTTTTTAAGTAACAGGGAAGGGGATTTGAAAGAGTGGGTACCTACCTAGTCAGGGACAGCTTTAGGAAGGAAACTGGTATGCCTGGACTAGGCTAAGTGGTAGAAAGGGAAGGAAAAAAAGACAATGTAGGAAGCTAGAGAATGGCATAGTAGCCCAGGGAAAGGGTACTGAGAGCCTGGGTTGCAGAGAAAAGGTAGAAAAACTCAGAATAGGAATTTCTGGGCGTGGTAGTAGACATCTAAATTCCCAGTACTCAAAGATGGAGGCAAAAGGACCAAGAGTTCAAGACCTATCCCTGCTATGTAACAAGAATTGTCCCCCAAATGGAAAACAACAACGAAATTTGCAAAAAAGAAAGAAAAGGAATGAAAGAAAAGAAAAAGAACTAATAGCAGCTGGAGGGACTGGGCTATTCTGTGGAGGAGGGAGAACGGAGGGAGGAGCTGACCTTGAATAAGTGGATGGTAATGTTTCTCACTGAGTTAGTGCCATCTCTTGAATGAGAATGGCTCCCACAGGTTCGTAGGTTCGCATACTTGGTCTCCAGTTGGTGTATGTTTGTAAGGGGTTAGCAGCAGTGGCCTTATTGGAGGATATTGGGGTTTGAGGTTTCAAAAGTCTCTGGACATTCCTATTGTGCTCTCTTTGTCTCCTGCTTCTGGATCAAGATGTGAGCTCTCGGTCAATGTCCCAGCACCATGCCTGCCTGCCGACTGCCACCATGATGGCCAAGACCCCAGCCTTCTGAGACTCTAAGCCCCAAATAAGCTCTAATTCTTCTATAATCTGCCTTGATCATGGTGTCTTCTCACAGCAATAGAAAGACAACCAAGACAGTGAAGTGGAGTAGCAGACTGAAGGAGAAAGCCTACAGGTGTCCTGTGGGAGGTGCTGGGTTCTGGGCTCCTAGAACATGAGGCATCTCAGGGCCAAAGACATAAATAAGGAGCCCAAGAACTTATAAACATGGACCAAAGCAAAGGGAGTTAATGGCGACCCTCAGGAAGGCCACGTGTGATAAAGAGAAGTGACACCAGGGGTCTGATCGATGCCCTCCAGTATCTATTCTAGCTCCTGACTGCAAGTCACAAAGACCACATCTAATTGGGAGCGCTGGATGGAAAAGGATCCAGGGGATGCTGGAGAGAAGAATAAACAGAATAAACAGTTGTACAACCAGGCCCAGAGTGGACAGAAGGAAGGGGGCACTGAGATTTCCATGTTGCCTTGCAGCTACCCACCATCTCACCTGTCTCCACTCCAGATTGATGTGCCTGAAAGGGTCATCTCGTTATTCCAATCCATGTTACAGTTCTTCATCCTGAATGATGGTGTTGCTATCCTGCCTTGGCATACTCCAAGAATTGTAACAGAAGCAGCTGAGAAACAACGCTTATGGCTAGAGAGAAACCAGGACATGGGCACCGTCTGAAATCCTGGGGAGGGAGTTATAAGAAAGAGGGGTATATCGTGTCTAACTCCACACAGAGGGCCAGATCCAGCAAGATGAAGGGTTAAACTCTCAGATTAACTTGGGCAGGTAGGACATCATTGATGAGTTTCATCCTAGCTGGTTGGGGAATAGAAGGGATGAGAAAACGGCAGTGGGATGATAAGGAAACGGGAAAGAAAGGTAGGTGGTCTCCTTACAGTGGGAGAGGAAAGGATGGGCAAGATGAGGAACTGTTTCTTCTGTGACCTGTCCTGAGATTTGGTGATGACAGGGTGTAAACACGCTTAGAGCCTGCAGGGAAAGAGCCACTGGAGGTCAGGTGTGCAAAAAGGTACCGAGAGCGAAATCAAGGGGATAGCAAGGACCCAGGGATAGAGACAGGTCACCTCAAAGCAGAGAAGAGACACATTCTCCTTTAAGGTTGGAAGGACAGAAGGTGACAGTAGTTGTAGCTTTAAGTAAGTGCTGTGCTCTGAAACACACACACACACACACACACACACACACATAATGCCTGGCTGTGGTTGTGCTCATATACAACTACCTATATCAGAGCTGTTTTAGCTGTCATGTGATGGGATGCGGCATAGGGATTGTGAGGAAGGTTTTCCTAAACTGGACTCCCTCACTTCCCCCGCCCCCACACCATCATCTGCTGAGGAGCAGTGACAAGTGACACCAGGAAAGGCAACTCTATTTTAAAATGTAGCTTGAGGTGACCCACTGCTGCTGCTTCACTCTGACCTCATTACAGAGAGGCACCCCAAGCTTTTGCAGTTTGTCGGTAAGATTAACAAAACATTTTGGGGAAAGAGTAGTGCTGTGGGGGTTTGGTTGTTACTTGGCTGGATTGACTCACTGGGACTGAAGTGCAACTGAGTGAACATATCAAAAAGAAAATAAAACAAGTGAGCCAACACAACCCATCCCAAACACATTTGAAAGAAATTCAGTGCTCTCTCTCTCTCTCTCTCTCTCTCTCTCTCTCTCTCTCTCTCTCTCTCTCTCTCTCTCGATGCAGATAGGAACTCAGGATGAGTGGACTGGCTGGTTTTGAGGGCTATTAAGGGCAAGACGGGCTGTTCCCAGAGCTGCTCTTTGAGCCACCAGATGCATCCTCAGAGCCCAAGAGACTGTGTACAGCAGAGGCCAGCTGCACTCCCGTTTAAATCCTTAGCACCTAGCGTGTCACAGGGACCTAATTATTGAATCAGCTGGTGACTGTATAAGCTATAAAATATGCCATGTTTCCTCTAGGGAAGATCAACAGAATCCATTTAGCTGGGTTCCTCGGTCTGAAAACTCCTAAAAACCATTTCCTTAATTTCTATTTAAGTGTTCCTTGGTTATCTAAATAAAGGGATTAAGTGGTTATTTAGTTTAGAACTGAGGGTTTTAAGTAAAACAGCTCAAGCTAGATATTTTTTTCCCCTGTCTGGCTCCGTTAGCTTTCCGCCATGCAGCTCTGACCTTGTGTGTCTAACAAAGCCATGTTCACAGTTAATTAAAATGCAGTGTCTCTATGAAGAGCCGGGGCAATTTTCCTCCTGTGCTATTTCCACTGCAAACTAGACAGAACAGGTTTGAATTTGTTCCGTGACAAAAGTGAAACTAGGGTCTTCCTGGTATCATATTTAACTATTCCATGACGATGGCGAAAGAAAAAGCAAGTGTCTGGGACTAATGCCCTGGCTGACGGGGAAAGGCTCTTGTGCGGAGCTTGTTCATCTGGGTTCGGTTCTAGGGATCCCCTCGCTGAAGGAAAGAACAGAACCAGAACCAGCTCCTGCAGGTTGTCCTCTGACCTCCACCCTCTGACCTCCACATACATGCTGCGGCAGGCAGGCCTACATACATACACAAATAAATAGGTATAATTCTATATAAATAAATATCGAGGGTTTGGGGGTTTTGCTGTTGTTTGTTTCTTGGGTTTTGTTTGTACCCTCTTCCTGGCACACAGGTCCTAGAGCCCTGGACTCTCCAGGATGATATATTGTTTGTCTGCTAATGAGATCCCTGGCCACTAGAGCCATCTAGCTGTTCCCTGCAGGGCCACCAAAATGAACAAGCGTTGGGCAGGAGCTTTAGAGCTTTCCATCCGATTTGGTGGTGTTTGCTTGTAAATCCAACTTGGGAGGCTGAGGCAGGAAGATGGTGAGTTCAAGGTTAGCCTAGGCTCTACAGGGAGACCTTGTCTATCTGAATTCAAGACAAAAGTAAATTAATTAATAAACAAGCAAAAAAAACCCCAAATAAAATACTTGCCTTGTTCATCCCTCCTCCGTTGGGGAGGAAGGAAGGGTTGGAGATGGAGTTACTCTCCATAGGCTAATGACTGGAAGCAACTGTGCTTGTGTAATGGTGGCTCTATGAGACCCCCCCAGCCACTGGACGTAGGGCTGCCACCTTGGTGAGCACCCTGAAGGACAGAGAGGTGGAGCCCACTCCTGACCCCATTCATACTGATTCGTACTTTTCTCTATGACGCTCTTCCACTTGGCAGTTTCTGAGTTGTTACTGTCTCACTTTTCATTTACATTTTATTTTGTGTGGATGCACACAGCATGGCCTTATGTGGAGGTCAGAAGATAACCTACAAGAGTCGGTTCTTTCTCCTACCACACAGGTTCCAGGCATTGACCTCAGGTCATCAAGCTTGGCAACAAGTGTTTTCTTACTACCCCTTCTTCTGAGATTTATGCTTTATAACCAACCAGTTCAGCAAGGAAAGCCCTTCTATGAATTAAATGAATCTCCCTGGTGAATTACCAAAGTGCATCAGAGTAATGGCATCCTCAGTGTAGTTGGTCTACCAAGAGATGGGAAGCCAGGGACTTCTGGTTGGCATCTAAAATAAAAAGTAGTCTTGTGGGACTGAGAATTTGAGCTTTTGGGATTTAACTCTAGCCCTAGAAAGACAGTCTCAGAATTTAGCTGAATTACTGGATATCCTCCTAGAGTCAAAAATATTGTGAGTAAAAACCAGATCACTGTTATTATGGCAAAATAAACTTAAATGGTAAAAAGAAAGAAAGAACTGAATACCTCACAAAATTCTTTCACAGTTAGTTAAGACTCTAGATGATCTTACTGGAAAAAGACATCCCAAGAGAATTCAGAGCCCATTTGTTTCCAAATACCTCTTTTCAAATACAATGATCTCTAGGAATAAGAATCTGAAACAGCTGGAGAAGCTTGGGAAAATCCTAAACTATCGTTTCAGAACTGGAATGGGACCTTCAAGACTCCAGACCCATCTGGAACATCTGATAAGACCTAGAGATCCAAGAATCAATCAAAGTTCACCGTCTACCAAGAGGAGCGGCGGTGTACTGTCCAGGCTTATCCTGCCATCTTCCCTGCCCACCCAAGACCATTCTCCAGGCGAGAGACTGTTACAGGTGAGCTTCTGTATGGTCTCACTAACCAATCATGTGCTACGATTCATTTCAACCTCCCCTTAGATCCCATACCTACACCAACCTCCCTAGAGAACCTTCCTCCATTTAGGACTCAGTCTTCCTCCTTACTCATCAACTTGCCTTTCTCTTCTGGTTTTTAGAGTTGTGTGTAGTAGGAAGTCACTACCCACGCTATGGTAGCTTGACGTCTTAGAAAACAGCAAACGCTGAGGGGTCACTCCTGCCCTCTCCCTCTCTACTCGCTCCAAGCAAGTCACACAACTCTCAAGGAGAGGTGCCAGCTCTGTATTCATAATATAGAAGAGTGACATTGACGGCGCTGACCTCTCTGTTTCCCCCGAGCAAGTTAGCAGACTCTCATAGAAAGACACACCCTACACGCAGAGGAAAGACATGCATTCCAAGAATCTGAATGAACAGCACCTGCTCACCATCCCCTTCACACACAACCATTCAGTCATGGCCTCCTTCACCTCTCCATGCCTCTCCACTCCTGACAGAGCTGCGGAACAAAATTATACAAATTTGACCTGGGGAGGTAGCTGGATTTGTAAAGTTCTTGTCATGAAAGCACAAAGACCTGAGTTCAAATCCCAGAGTTCGTGTTAAAATGCTGGCATGAAGGGGTGTGTCTGCAACAATCCCAGCACTGGGAAGGCAGGGGCTGGCAGATTCCTGGGCCCACGATTGATAAGCTCCTGGCCTAAGAGGAATCCTGTTTCAAATTATCAAGTTTTGTAGCTTACGAGGAACCACACACTTAAGGCTGTCCTCTGATCTCCAGTTGCATGTTCCCCAACATGCAAACTCCGCCACCCCCACACAAATACACAAGTTTAAGGTTTCCATTTCCCTAGGAAGGCTTCTTGCGATGTAAAATGCACGTCAATACATAGGCTTTTCTTTTGTTAGTCTGTCTTCTGTTGCGAATGCCTCAGCCACAAACCTAGCAGTGGGTGAGAAAACAAGGGCATTTCCCCCTCCCTACAGGTGCTTGGGATTTGGGGGTAAGAATTCTCAGCTAGAATGGGCACCGTGGCTTCCAGGCTCTTACACATTGCAGGAAGAACCCACACCCATTCCTTCTTATGATGAATTTCACTGTATGTATGTACTATGTTTTCTTTATCCGTTTATCAGCTGCTAGACATCCTCTGGCTTCCAACCTTTGACTGCTGTTGGCAGTGTTGCAGTTATGAACATTTAAATATAGTATGGGAACACCACATTGAGGTATTTGGGATATATACTTAGGAGACTCTGGGTTGTGCGACATAATGAGGGCTTAATGCTTTACTGGTATTTTAGCAGAATTTCCATACATTTATTTTTAAAATGTCTATATCCTTTTAAATAGCAAAAGAAGGAGTTGCTAATTAGGTATGCTGAAGGAAAATTCAATTCATTCCAAATTGTCTGGGAGCTGTGTGCACCGCTCCAGCTGTGGAGAATCAATCCTGCTCAGGAAAATAACGAGCCCTGGCTTCTCTGTGAAAATGGAGCTGTTGGAAATCATACTCAGATGTACACATTTCTGCATGGGGGTGGTTATTTACGTGCAAACAGTATGCACATCCAGGTCCTTCCAGGAAGCAATCCATTTGCTATAGACTTCAAGACCATATCTTATACTTTAAATACTATTTTACCAGCACTCTGCTTAGAGCTATTTCTTCAGTCACCAGGTGACAATAGCATGCAAATCCTTTAAGTGAAACGTGACGCCCAGGCAGCCCGGCTGGTAATTAAGCCGTATCTGCATTTTCTGAAATCCCTTTCATTAATACAGCAAGAGAACTCCAACGTGCCCACGCCCTCCCCAAAGAGGGAATTAGCATGGCGATGCTCTTTCTTTTCTCCTTTTCAGGTAGATGCAGCTGCCATCCTGGCGATTAGAGTTACTGTGCATAACCACACTGACGGCTCAGCTTGAAACAAAAGCAAAAAGAAAAAAAACAGGCTGCAAGTTCCATGACGGAGGAAGGCAGAAGGTGGGGTCCGCAAGTGAAGCTCACTCCAGGGGAACACACAGACTAGCTAGCGACCTGATACTAACAGTGTTCAAAGATGGGGAAATTTACACATCTAAGAGCATGTGTGAGTTTATTTGCTAGTCCATTTTGTTTAAATGCATATAATTAGCTCTCTCTCTCCCTCTCTCTCTGTATATGTGTGTGAGTTAGGATACATTTGAAGTTCTCTTGTCCTTCATCTCCTACCTTAATTTCCTCTTGTGAGTCATGGATTCTGACATTTACTTTTGTAATTCCTAATACATTCTCCAGGAACATAGCTAGAATATTATTGCTTTCCTGCCTCTTTAAATTTGCATAAATGCTGTGACCCATGTGTGTCTTGCTTTCTAGCTTTTCTGTCAACCAGGAAGTATGTTTTCTTCCCTCAACATTGGTTTTGAATCTGAATGTCAGTTGTGGCTGTTCAAAGGACATGTGGCTAGCCTTGTTTCTGCCTGACAGGATCCTGGCATCAGACACCTGGGGCTGTGAATGACATCCATGCATGGAAAGCTCTGGCGACAAGTTCAAGGAAGGTAGTATTTATCTGAATTCATTCTAAAGAATTTCCCGAGGCACTCTAGCCGGGGCCTCAGTCACAGGCACGCTTGTCACTTTGGTCAGAAGGTGGCACCATGCCAGTTCCTTTCACATACAGGTATGTCATCAAGCTCAAGGGCTAAGAAAATAACCATGAAATAAGAAAGCAGTGCCCTATACACAAAGCCCACAGACCTGGGAAAGAATTCCCTCGGCTAGAGAACTGGTCTAGACCAGTAGGGCACCGAGTAGTGCACCTAGGACAGGGTGATGGCTGAGCCTCACCTGCAGCAAAGGGCGATTCTGAGACTGCAGAAAATTAAAAAACTAATCCTAAAACCAAGTACAAATCAGTCTTCTTTCCCATGTTTATTTTCACTATGTAGCGACAACTGTAATGATAGAAATTTTCCTCCTACAAACAGTTTGCTGGTCTATCATCTAAAGACCTGTGTAGTGTTCGCTTGTGTATTAGTGCTCCAGTGTTTTATTACATATCCTTTAATGAAGATTTATTCTTCGTGAGAGTTAACTTAAAGAAATTTCCACTAGTTAGCTCCCATCATACAAAGAGTCACAGTATCTTTTTGTTTGTGAAAAGTGTCTGTGCCCTGATAAACTTCTCCGCCGATGCAAATATCCAAATCAGACCAAATCAAACCAAAGTAGAAAAAGCCCAGGTTTAGTGGATACTAGCACTTTCGGGTGGCCTTCCAGTCCCCCAGAGAGGAAATGAAGGAAGACTAGAAAACCACGTGTTTGTTCTCAGGGATGCAGTTTAAATACCCTGTGGGAGTGGTCTTGAGCATCTCTGGGGAGGGGTCATCATTTGACTGGCTTTCTCAGAGGTGGAGTCTGGACTGAGGCAACTCCAAGGGGAGTGTTTTTGAGTCAGGGTCTTATGTAACAGGTTGATGTTGAATTCTTTGTTTTTCTGCCTTCGCTCAGTGAGTGCTAGGATTATAGGGATTATAGATGTGTATCACAACACCTAGTTTAATTTGTCTTGTATATGAAAGGTAGGCTCACAAAGAGTGCCTCCCTCTTTGTTCCCATGCTAAAGGCAACAAGACCCAAAAGAACAAAGCAGATAATTAAGGCAAACTAAAGTCTCACGTGATAAACAACTTCATTCAGAGCCCTGGACAATTTATACACTGAAGGTCCCTCCAAAAAGTTCTCATGAGTTCAAGCTGTAAACATTCACAGCAACAAGCCGCATGTGGCAAGAACATGTTTTGCTACAGAGGCATAAACATTTCATTGTTAACAACAGCAAGCAATGAAGTAAACTCATTCCTACATTCTACACCAGGAGGGAGCACAAAAACACATCTCAAAAACAAGGGATTGTTTTCGAAGAGACCAAGGTTACCAGACTCTTGACCAAGCATTCAGAATTCTCCTTATCCGACTCCATTCCCGGACTGTGTTCTGACGTCCCACCATTATGGATACTCCCTCTAGAACAGTAAGCCAAAATAAACATTCCTTAAAAAAAATTTGGACTTGGACCTAATTACTGTGTCCTTCAAACAGGACTGTAGCGAAAGGAAATAGCCCCGTTCTGCCGCTCGGTTTGGCCCCTGGGAGATTCTATAAGATACAGGAGCGTGGGACAGTGGGAAATGTCAGACTTGCAATTTTCAATTGGTCCATGCAAACTCGAGCGGTAAGGTTTTACTGAATTTGGGCAATTATTTTTCAGGAGTGAGTTCAACTGATTTTTTTAAAAATTGCAAACTAAAGGATAATTCGAGTAAAATGAAACATTAAATCAGTGGTACTGTGCCAGGCACTTGTCAAAAACAAAACACGACACAACACAGTACTTAAGGATTTGTTTGGCCAACATTCTCACGGCTTATACACAAGGCAGATGACAAAGTGGTCAGCTAAGCCCAGGTAAGGCCAGTGATGTTGAAATAAAAGACTGTTTTGAGTTCCCTTGTGATTTCTGGAAGACTGCGTTAGGACTCAAGAAGAGACCCTGAGAGTGATGACCTCACGGACGAGCACGAAAATCCGGGGTGTGCCAAACTACAGCAAAGTTACAATTGCATCAGGCAAAGTCACAGCCCTCATGCATATCTTATCTTTCCTTCTTCTGTGCGTCCGCACTTCAGCCCTTTGGGAAGTGCTGCTTTTTGTACGGCTCTTTTGGAAATTTGGGGAAAGTGTCCATTCATCTAACTCTCACCTCATTAGTAGGAAAAGCCCTGCAGAACATGTTTGAGGCAGTGAACGGCTTGTCTCAGACTAGATGGTCAGCTCATTCTGGAGCAGCACAATCTAAAGAGGTTTAGAAAGTTCATTGCCGTCTTCGAAACACTATACAATCAAAACAAAAATGTGGACCCCAGAGAGTTACAGTAAAGTTCCTTTCTTTCTTTTGGTGGCATTTTCCTTTTCTAATTTATCTTTTTTTTTCTGATAGGAACTTTTGACTGAGGCCAATATGGTCCCCCAAATATTTGTAAGCAGCCAAAATCAGGCTTGAACAATGAATAGAGAGGTAAGCCTTAAAATTAGCTCATAAAGATCAAGACCCACAATTCTGACCATTAAGTATGTCACATACCAGGAAGGAGACCAGAAACGCACCAAACGGCATCTGAGTGCAAGCATTTTAGATGCAAACATTTTATCGAGGTTCCCAGCTCCAAACAAGGCTTTTGAAATCAAACCTAATAAAAAGGGTTACGACATCAACCATGAGTGAACATGGGTTGACAAACCTGCTCATTCACCCATTGAAAATGAATGTCTCAAAATCCGCGGTGACAAAACCGGGGCTTGAAGCAGGACACTATGACATACACATTACTCTGCTGTGACTCATGGGTGTAACAGACTCGTGGAAAGGCAGAATTTCCCCTGTTCTCAAAATGCAAAGTGCTCATTAAAATTTCATAATACAGAACAGTTTTCCTTTTCTGAAACACTTAGTTAAGTTTTAACTTTGTTGCTGACATGATCATAGGTGCATACATTTTCCACTGCTTTCATGTCCTTTCTGTCCATGACATGTCCTTCTGCACACAAAGTCATCTGCACACAGCTCACAGAGTTTGCTTCTGTGGGCAGGGATCTCTGCATTCCTAGACCGCAGGGACTATGTTGGTCCTTTCCCTGCCCCCACTCCCTACCTTTTGGCCTTCTACACTGTAACAAAGCAATGCAAAATAATGCATATTCATTATATAGTAATTCATAAATGGTCTTAATTGAGAAAGCTAGAACATCTAATTTTTGTTGTTGTCGTCATTTTTCAAGACAGCCCTGGCTGTCCTAGAACTATTAGACTAGGCTGGCGTCAAACTCACAGAGATCCACCTGCCCCTGCCTCCCGAGTGCTGGGATTAAAGGTGTGCGCCGCCACCACCCAGCGTACACCATTTAATTTTTTTAAGCACAAGTAACTTTAAAATCTGCATACTACAATAGAAAAATCCGATTTAGAAGGAGCAGAGACATTTTACCAAGATTTAAAAATTTATTAATTTCCTAACGGGCTGAAATAGCTGTGTTGTGTATAGAAGGGTAGGAAACAATAATGAATTTGTCTTTTACATTCCTTAGGTCAGCCTATAGGAAAGAGTACGGATATTCTCCTCATAGCCTCTCCCCCAAATGTGATCTTCCTCCTCATCCATCCTCCTTCCTGAACATCCTATGTTAGCCAGGACGCCTGCAGGACAAATTGGCAAACTCTTACACCATTGTTACACCAATGGTTTTCAACCTGTGGTTTGCAACCCCTGAGGGGTTGAACGACCCTTTCACAGGGGTCACCTAAGTTTGGCAGAAAACACAGATATTTACATTATGATTCGTAACAGTAACAAAATTACAGTTATGAAATAGCAAGAAAATAATTTTATGCTTGGGGGTCGCCCAAGCATAAAATGAGGAACTGTATTAAACCCCATGAGGAACTGTATTAAAGGGTCGCAGCATTAGGAAGGTGGAGAACCACTAATCATTCTTTGTACTAAAATGTGGGGTACTTAGTACCTTATGTCTCAGAGCGAGTGAACAGGACAGAGTTTTGATCACCCCCACATCCCACAGATTAGAACAGCCAACATACTGTCCTGGTACCGTCTTCTGCTGAGGCTAATGGCCCCTGGCTGACATGGCTTACTGGGTGGCAGTGATTTCGGTTCCGTAGACAACTTTGAACTTTTCTCTAATGACATGTTTTCCTTTTGCATTGTGTATGTGCACATGCATGTGTGTGCATGCGTGTAGGAGCCAGGGGTTGATGTCAGCTGTCTTCCCCAATTACACTCCACAAGGTACAAAGTCTCTCATGGTACCTGGGCTCCCTGATTCAGCTAGACTGAACACCATGCCCCAGGGATCCTGCTGGCTCTGTTTTCCCAGGATTGGGATTCCAGTGTGCATTGCAGGCCGAGCTCTTTAAATGGGTGCTGAGAATCCAAACTCAAGTCTTCCTGTTTGCGACGGAAGCACTTGTCTGGTAGAACAATCCCTCCAAGCCTCTAGTAGCAAGTTTTGAAAAAGGGCTGCCTTTAAGTGTCATGCAACATTTGATTTGATTTAGAGTCTTACAATAGATGATAACCTTAGTGAGTTACACATTTAGAGCCTTATAATAGATGTACAATAGATATACCTTAATAAACAAAGGACAAGATAAGATGAATTTGCTGTTTTTCCAGCTGCTGCAATATCAAAGCAATTTGTCAGGAATCCATTAGGTGTGTTTTTGTTTTCAGCTGAAGGGTGGACCGGTGCTTAACTGTGCAGTATTGCTTTGAAGACGCATACTCATTAAATCAGATTTACAGACCTCAGACTCCACATCATAAATCCCTTCTGAAATGGTTCCAAATTGCAATTAGGCAAGTAATACTCCAATTTCCTCATCTTCCTTTGCTTCCCTAGGCTAGGGAGTTTGAGGGCTACTTTGCCCAGGTCCCCCCCAGGGCGAAGTCACTGAGGCAGTCCTGCCAATGAGCCGTGCTGTTTGTGTTCCTGGGTCGATGACCCGGAAGCCTGAGCAAATGAAAGCCTGATCTTATTTTTCCCTTTTCTTTCTGTTCCTGGCTGGTAATCTGGGCACATGAGATCAGTGAGTAGCTGGTCTGCACTGCCTAAGCTGACCCGTCAGGTGGAGCCCCTGCAATAAGTGAAGAAAGGGACAGTGAGACACGGAGACACTGCCGTGGCTTTTGATTTGGAAGGAGGCTTAGGCTTTGTTCGCTGATTTCTTTATAACATACACTGCATGAGAAAGGAAACATAAAGGTTGGGTATGGCTTCTCTCCATTTAAAGAGAATGATGGGTCTAGTTTGCTGACACAGAGACAGGAAAATTAGTGAGCAGAATTCAATCATGACGATGGAATCGTTAAAAAAAAATTCTGCATCTTTCTCTTTAACAAGAGGCTGTCTAGATTGGGTGGAGCAGAGGACCTCAAAAAAGGTAAGGGGAAATACTTCAAAGAAAAAAAGGGGGTTAACTGGAAAGGGGAAACAGCACTGTCCTGATCTACATAACAAGGTCCCTTAACTTGAGCTCTTCCTACGGCATTGCATTAGCCTGCTCCCTTTGCTCCTTCTGGAATCCCAGTTCTTCAAAGTGCACCGGGAGCTGAAATAAAAACTCTCACCATTGAGAGTGGCTTCCTGATCTCTACATCACAGATTCCACTTGGATTCCCGGGATGCTTCAAAATCTGTTTTTAATCCCTTCACTCTGCCTTTCAAATTAATGCTTGGCTCAGAACAAAGGAATCACCGGAAACCGTATGTGTTATTAAAAGTGTCTGTTGTGTTAGTTTTTATTAGTGTGTGGCCAGGATAGCTAACCGAGCCACGACTGGATTTTGTCCACATAATAAGCTTTCCAGTTGTTTCAAGACAGTTGCTGGTCTTAGGTCACAGTGGTGGGACGGGAGGATCGCAGTGCTTCAGTCTCTGATGACTTAGACACGGATTAAGGCCGGGCTTTCTCAGCCCTCCTATGCTGCAGCCCTTTAATACCCTATGTTGTGGTGACCAGACAACCATGCTATTATTTTGGTTGCTGCTTCAAAACTGTAATTTTGCAACTGCTCTGAATTGTACTGAAAATAGCGGTGTCTTCTGATTGTTTTCAGTGAACCCTGTGAAAGGGTCACTTGACCCCAAAGGGGTCGGGACTTGCAGGTTGAGACCTGCTGGATTAGAGAGCCTGTGCAGCTGGGCAAGGCAATTACGGCTTTCCCTGGAGCTGAGGAACCAGCACTCAGTTGAAAAGGCTCTCTCTTCCCAGCCAGGTCTCTAAATTGGGACTGCAGAGGACAGGCTCACACTGTCTGGCGATCAGTAGGGGGAGGTGACCAAAAGAGTGACAGAAAAAGAACTGAGGTGCAGTGATCTCTGGATCACCTGGTCCCATGGGAATTGTCACCTGGGGGGAGATTGCTGTCGATTTGTGTCACGACTTGCCTTTTCTTCCAGCTAAAAATCTTCCATTACAGTCTTTATAATTTGAAGCTTAAAACATCATTTTTAAGCTCGCGGGGTTTTGTATTTTTTCCCTCAGTCACATCAGTTGTGTTAGCTTTGGCAAGTTCACAGGAAGGCACAGGAACCCCAGGGGGAAGATATAGACCGGGTCTGTGTCCCTTTTCAGACATCCTCTGCATTCATTCCGCACCCCCAGGAACAATGAATTTCTCATCTCAATAGTTTTGCCTTTTCTAGAATGTTCTATAAAGGGAACCATACAGCATGTGGCTTTTGGCACCCGACCCCCTTCATTAAGCACGGGGATTAGTGAACTTCTGTGACGGGGCAAGCAGGAGACATCGTCAGCTTTGAATTTCCACAGTATGGCTACATTACTGTGCCTGTGTCCATTCCAGACGTGTAACAGACTGAACTGTGTTCGAGTCTTGGTGATTATGAACAAAACTGAACTGCGAATTGAATGCGTTCCCCAAATTCCAGCTGAAACTTAATCGTCAGTGTGACGGTCTGCAGAGGTAGGGCCTTAGGAACTCTTTACGTCACAATGGCTCCTTCTTCCTGAATGAGATGAAGGCCCTTAAAGAAGAGACTTTGTCAGGGCCTTTTTCTTCAGGGGGAAACCACATTCTCCCACTCTGAAAGGCTGCTACAGTGAAGTGCCAGCTTGGAACAGAGAAACGTCAGACGGGAGACGTCAGAACCTCCCAGCTCCCAAAACTGTGAAAATAATTTTTGTTGTTCCTTTTGCATCACACTGTCTCAAATATTTTGTTAGGACAGCATAAGCAAAGTTCAGCTGAGCGGCTATTAACATTTGTGCATTTGTTTTTTGTTTGTTTGTTTTTACTAAAGTTCCATGCTCATGGGAAAAGTGGCCTGGGTGCCATCGTAGAGCTGAATGATGTTGCGTGTGTAGTTTAATTAAGAAACTGACTGGACCAGGTTGAGCTGGTCACATGGTGGCAGATTTGAAGCCTGTAAGTCGATGATACTTTGTTACAGGGATGGGTTATCTCAGCAGACTATACC